TACAAACTTCTGAACTGTCTCCCGGAAAAAGGGGAAAAAAATTAGTAAAAAATCCAAATTTTGAGTTTTAGGAGAGAACTAAAAAATTCCAGGGGCCCAAAGAGTGGGGAAAACGCTTTGGGTTTGGGAAAGGACCACTTTAAAAAACCTAAAAGATATAACTATAGAATGATACCTGGTAAAATCAGCTATTTTTTCCGGTGCTAAAAATCAAACAAAACACCAAAAGGGGGGGGGGGGGGGGGGGTTATCCGTTGACAAATGTAAGACCGGGGGGACAAGTGCTTAAAAAAAGAATGCAAGGATATCAACTACGTCCATGTGCGACGAATTTTTCGTTTGAAGCCCCACCCTGGTTGTTGCCGGGGGTCCTAATATTACCCAACCTATGTGTTGAACGGGCTTTGGTTTCTGGGACCTCTCCATGGGTGGTCCTCATCCGAATAATGGCACTGTGTGTCACCGGGTGTTTATCGCTCAGTGTGATGTCATGGTGGGGTTCAACATGAATCAATCAAAAACTTGTATACCGATATAAGATTTTCTTGTGTGTGTCGGGGGTTGGGAGAGGGCAGGAAGAGCTGGGAGGGGCTGAGCAGCCTTGCACATTTTCTAAAGAATGTTGGGGTTCAGCCCACCTCAAAAAATTATGGTGAAGTTAGGCGTGGGATGAGGAGGGGGTCTTGAGGTACCCGAGCACACAGGTTCCGCGCACCTTATGTCTGTTGCTATGGTAACATCTTACGCTGCATTCATTCACTATATTCCTTTTTATAGAAAAACATAAAAAATACAAATACCACAAACTTGTTGAAAAGGGTAACACTAGACCATGCAAAAATAGCATTCCAACTGCAACAGATATGATTTACTACAGGCAGAGTCTTCAGTTGTTTTGGCCTCACTTACCTGTCTTATTAATTTGGTTTTGCAAGTATAAAATACTTCATGTATTTACCAAAAGAAAGTAGTCCCAAAGGCTTTTCCCCACCAGGTGTCGCCAACTCGAGGATCCAGACTGAAGTTTGTGAAGTCAGCGCGACCTCCAGCTCTTGCAATCCTCCAGACTTCTTCTCCCCCACCTACAATGATCGATCCTAAGAAACGCGGTAAGAATACACAGTTAAAAGTACAACAAAATAACACAAATTTTCCCAAGTTTAATAATCCCCCCCCCCCCCCCCCCACACACACACACCCGGCCCTTTTCCGCCCTTTTCCGCCTTTTTCCTTATTCTCATAATCCTTCAGCGTCCTTTTTTTCCCCCAAACATTTTTGTCCGTCTCATCATCTTGCTCCTTCTTCTTAATTACAGCCACACATGTACACACACACAATCGAGTCGTATGAAGCATTGCTTGAAAATTTTTACCTTTAATGATGATAGTAAATAGACCTCCAATCATTAGAAGACCCTGAAACACATCTGTCCACACGACACTCTTGATTCCTCCGATGGCGGAGTAGACAGTCCCAATGACACCCACAATGCCTACAGACACCCACATTGGTAGGCTGGCACCGGCCTGAAACAAACCTTCTTTGGTCAAGCAACAGAAGTATTCACTTTGGCGCGCTGATTTTTGGGCAATAAACTAACTTACTGTTCGCACTATTATACAAATGATGATAATGATTACCTTTAACCCCACCGGGACATCACACCAAGCGATAAACACCCGGTGACACAAAGTATCACCATTCGGATAACGGTCATCCGGGGACCGGTCCTCAAAACCCTGGTCAATCCATAGGTTGGGTTATATTAGGGTCCCCGGCAACAGTCAGGGTGGGGCTTTATAACAACAACAAAAAGCGTCCGACATTGTGGCGCAGGTTTGATATACACCTTATACCAGTATGTACAACTGGTGACCGAAATTATCATCCAGTTTGAAGATGACCGAGTCACCAAGGAAGGAACAGAAAGACCATTCCAACAACCTGCCAGTTTCGTTGCGATGTTACAGTGGTGGACCAGAAGATTCACGATAGTTGGTCAAAGTGTGTGAAAATGTCAAACATACTCAACCAGGACAGCTTGTTACATCTAGTTTATACTTATTATAGGGTATAGGCTACGTAACCTGTGTGCTCTGGTCCCTCTAAGTAAAGTAAAGTAAAGTAAAGTAAAGATCTATTTTCACGCCTCAGGCGCATGGGGCATATGGGAAGAGCGTCCCATATTTTTACAGACCAATCGGCACTGGGTGGGTAATGTGGTCAGCATTACGCCAGCCGTCTTAACTTTCCCAGGACAGCCATCATATACCCATTTTAGGCTGGGTCTACCTGCGACGCCTCATACCATGATAAAAATTCACGCAGCCAGTAGTGGGTTTCGATCGCGATACGTTGGATTACGAGTCGGACTCGCAACGCCTAAGCCACGGACGCCGCTCAGGTCCCTCTAGCTCCCAGTAATTATATAAGAGGACCACATCATGAAAAATCAATTATCTTTCAAAGTATGTGTTCATGGGCTTGATCGCCAAGACAGTCGGCAGGGCACCTAATGATGATGATGGTGATGATGATCATGATGAGGATGATGATGATGTTCAGGTATTTCATAAAACTTCGAAAATATTAAATGTATTTACCTCTATTGAAATTTTACCTGAAGTGGGGCACATCGAGTCGTTGTGACGACTCAGAACAAGTCCAGAAAGAATGTTAAGCAAAATTGAGATACGCATGCTTTTTACAGCGTAGCTTTGTTATTATCATCTTTGGATCTGTCTATGACATATGTAGGTTTGTTGGGAAACCAACAGGAAGATTGATTCGCTCTCCACAACTGGATGGTGGACTGAGGCATGATACAACAGATGCGATCAAGATCATTAGGCACAAGTTACCATTACAGAAATGCAAACAAATCATAACAATCTGGATAAAGTAGTGTCACTGGAATTGATGGTGAAGGAGGTTAGTCGGAACTAAGCATACGGGTGAGGAAAGGGGGAGGGGGGCAAGACGTAATATAATCAAACTGTTACCTGCACATTGGAAGCTGGAACTCTGCCCTAGCTGCTGAAAACTATGATCTAGCGTTTATATTATGTCTGTAATGCTGTGACGTCGGTTTTGAACTCATATCACCTCGGTTCAAATTAACCTAGTAAGTAGCTGTGGTGTGGTGTCAAACTCTTAGTGATCAGTACATAAACGAGAGTGGATAAACTGACCTGCAATGCTAATGCTGGAGAGAGAAGAGCTATTGCCATGTAGCACAGAGTTTGTAGCATTCCCACGAGAACAACAAATATCCGTAGAGTTGTGGAGTGGTACCTCAGCTGAAGGTATTCATACAGACTTGTCAATCGCAGCGGATACAGCAAAGGCACAATAGTAAACGCAGCAACAATGTAACCTATCGTGATTCCTGCAATCAGCGCAGCCGCCATGCATCCGTTCATGTAGATATCAGTGAGCATACCCACAAGAGCAATGCCTGACTGAAATTAGAATTTAATAGTGGTAATAGAGAAAATGAAAAAGTCAACTTGGTTTGTTCGTACTTCTCCATAATGTCAGTAAAGAACCATTTCTAAACCGGATATGTATTGTGTTTACAGTACACTGCCTATGTTAGGTAAATATCTAGTACTCATTTATAAAGTTCAATATGAATAAAAACAGTAAATGGCCCATTCTAGATCCATTAGTGTAACGAGCAGATAGTGTTAGATCTATATTTTAATAGACCCATTGGCAAACAATAGATGGTGATCTATCAGCACACTGGCCACATTTTCTTCTTGGGATATTTCCTGGTATCCATTTTAAGTTTGGTCAAACGGGCAGTCCATACCATTTACAACAATCTACCTCGGCGGGACCTTCAACTGACAAACAATTGTCTAACCACTACGGACCCGCTCTACCGAATGGACAATGTGGATATCACCTAAATCAACAATATTATTCTGAATATTTCTATGGCTTATATTGGGATGAACTGGTGTGGTTATATTATAGTGTGAACATTAAAGTGCATTTTTGATTGCTTATACAAAACAGCGAAGCAACTGGTCGGGTCGTTATAACGCCGGGCTCTCATATGGGAGTCCCGAATTCTATCTTAGGTTAAGAGATGGACATTTTACTCTGTTGGGGGCAAAAATAACTATACTTGCATAATGTTCCATTTCGTTCTCTGACTTTGTCAGTGACTTTGTCATTACGAACATAAATTAAACGTGTCGGCCCAGCTTCAACGTCAATCTTTCCTACACAAGTTTTGAATCGTCAATACCCTCATGCACGAGATTTTAAAAAATCCTCAAAATCAATGAAAAGATGATTGTATTAGAAACGATTTGAGTGTGGAGTCTCGCCACAAGTCTGGCTGTAATGTATTTGAATTCTCTGGTCTGCTGACTGGGCAGCGTTACAATTTAGCCTGCCATTTAATTGTCAACTCTCTCTCTCTCTCTCTCTCTCTCTCTCTCTCTCTCTCTCTCTCTCTGTGTGTGTGTGTGTGAGTATGCGTGTGTGTGATACTCATCATGATTATCACACAGAAGGAAAATTGTGAATACACAGTAAACACTATGGTTATACATTCGGACTAGAAGCAAAGCAGAGTGTAATTGACTAATCTTGTAATTGAGGAAAGAGAAGAGATAACTATAAAGGATAATAAGAAAATCTACTCCTTGAAATCTCCTCGACTCCGAACCAACAAGAGTTCTAAATATGTGACGTGGCGAGTGGGAGCCAAAACACAACCTTAAGCCGCCTCAGTAACAAGGAAAAAAAAAGAGCAAAAGTTCGTTAAGGAGGGGGTAAGATCAATATTATCTCACCCTGACAGGAAATCTTTTGTGTAAAGTCTAGATCAGCCAAGCAGCAATTACTAAACTAGGCCCACTAACTACAAGTCCTAATCTGAACGAAAAACAACTTGAACTATGATTACTACAATGAACATCTGTTTATTTCACTTTACATAAAATCAGCGTGGTTCACACATAACACTAACAACAACCAACGTGCCCTACCAGAATCTAAAACGATCATTAGCTAACGAGGAATTATGATAATGACACCATACGCTCAGCGAGACTACCTCAACAATGGCAAAAACCGAAACTTATTTAACATGTACGTTAGGCTTCAATATGCCACCAGACCAACAAATCACTTATAGCTACCTGCCATCCTAGCGAGAATACACCCCTATATATTACACAGTACATCTACTAGAGACTATACTATTTCAGGACTAAATATGGAAACATACCACCACCTGCGAAATCAGCTTGACAACCGACCTTTCCCTGTAGCCCACACCCATGCTGACGAGTCCAAGTGCAGAGATACAACAGCCGGTATGTCTCCACGGGGTGCTTTCGGAAGTCAAATATGAGGCAAATACTAAGTCAGTTGGCCTTTTTATACCCAGTGGCCAGACTTGTCTCCATTTTACTGTCTAAAACTACAAGCTGTTCCTGTGGCCTCTGGTCATTTTTAAACCAAATTAAATCAAAATCGTTGAGCTGCTGAACAGTAGTCTTTGTTGTTTTGCCAGCCTATCACACATCCCATAGGATTCGCAGTGTAATCCATTCCAGCATCCCTGACTTGTCTAGGCAACGTTCGTCATATGGTTTAACATTGCCATCCTTGTTTCCTGAGTCAAGTTGTTCAATATTTCGGAGTCTGTTTTAGGATTCTCTGTCTGTTCCTCCTCACGGTATGGCCAGTATATTCTCACCTTTCTTTTTCAAGAATTTTGATACAAGCGTGTGTGCGTCATACACACACACACACACATTTAGATAGATAGACAGACAGACAGAAAGACAGGCGGGCGGGCGGGCGGGCGAGCAGACAGACAGACAGACAGACAGACAGACAGACAGACAGACAGACAGACAGACAGACAGACAGACAGACAGACAGACAGACAGACAGACAGGCAGGCAGGCGAGCAGACAGACAGACAGACAGACAGACAGGCAGGCAGGCAGGCAGGCAGGCAGGCAGGCAGGCAGGCAGACAGACAGACAGACAGACAGACAGACAGACAGACAGACAGACAGACAGACAGACAGACAGACAGACAGACAGACAGACAGACAGACAGACAGACAGACAGACAGACAGACAGACAGATAGATAGATAGATAGATAGATAGATAGATAGATAGATAGATAGATAGATAGATAGATAGATAGATAGATAGATAGATAGATAGATAGATAAATAGATAGATAGATAGATAGATAGATAGATAGATAGATAGATAGATAGATAGATAGATAGATAGATAGATAGATAGATAGATAGATAGATAGATAGATAGATAGATAGATAGATAGATAGATAGATAGATAGATAGATAGATAGATAGATAGATAGATAGATAGATAGAACTCGTCAGAAATCAAGGGCCACCTCGAGAAACCTTGGTGGAGACCATACGACAAATCTGACACAAACGTATGTGATATCAGTTAAAACAGCATTAATTGAATACCTTATTGACGTCATGTAAACAAATGAAAACACGCGAAACGAAACAAGATTGTGAAGTGTGCCATCTTCATTCAAAAAAGTCATACAATAGATATTGGACAACTAGACATTTCTAAACATCATCCTTTCTCGAAATCTGAAATATTTTTGGTCATATCAAGCGCCACGACGGATTGGAAAAAATTATAACAGAAGGCATGGTACCATGAAGGAGGGGCAGAGGCCGACCGACACGAAGATGGGCACAGGATATAAGTGACTCCTTGAGTGTGAAAGTTCATGAGGCGGGAGAACTGGCAAGAGACTGAGTTTCTTACAGGCTGACTGTGATGAGAGCGACATTCTGCAGAGGACCTGCTACATGATAAGACATTTCAAAACATCCTTCAGAAAAGTATTCAAGACAGAGCAAACGCGTTGAGTCTACAAAGGGTCCGAAGAGTAACCAAGGAACAGTTTGTCATTCCCGTAGCATAAATTTTGTCATCTCTAAAATCATCATTAGCAAGGGATGATTTGTTGACAATATGCGACAAAGAACATCGATGTGTTGTTTTCATGCTTAATTGGAATAGAGGCCTATCATGGGTACACATTTTCATTAAGCTTTCGTAATTTAATCATTCTATGCGCTTATAAAAAAATGTGTATTGTAAATAATAAGGTGGCCTTTGCCTTTTGATGAGTAGTATGTGTATGTTTGTGTATATGTGTGTGTGTGTGAATGTGATGTGTGTGTGTGTCTATTTATAGCCTATATATAAATAGTCAATTTATATAATATTATATTACTGTAAACGTTGCAAAAATAGATAATGCAACAGGCAACATGAACATGCGTCGTCCACCAAGTAGAAACTCTGTTCTGTTGACATTTTTGAAATCTTTTACAGCAAACAGGATTCCGATCCCCAAAGAGACAGACAATGTTAACACTATTACGGTGTAATCAACAATCTGTAACGAAACAGTATTCTCCATGCTGTGCTGTGAATGTCTCCGGTAAGTGATAAACTGCAGAACCTTTAAAACATTGAAACACCATTAAACCCACACTGTAATAATAATTTTTAAAAAAAAAAATACTGTTTTATATATAGTCTCATGAGTGGACTCAAAGATATTCAGTTTATATGTCACGATTAGGAATATATAAAGTAGTTATTGCTTGAACTATACAAGCTAGATCATAAAATAAAGAATTCCACCTGTTAATGTCAAACACATATTTGCACACCCGCATATGCCGTCCAGCAGCTGCAGAGCGAGTATCTTGTCTTTTAATGAAAATGCTATCACTAATAACAGCTGCGCGTCATTATCAAGCTTCGTCGTATGCACCACCGTTGTATATTAACTGCTAGTAAATGTATTGAATGTCGCAAAACCATTTGACACTGCAAATTATGGTGGGTGTTGTACAAGGTGGTGGTGATGCAGGTCGTGCTTGCTCTTGTAGATGATTATTGGGTACTTTATTAATATCCTACCCCAGATTACGTCACAGGACAGTCCAACATTTTAGAGGGTAGTAAGACTGGGTTTCCCGGCTTTCTGATGCTTATAACGAAACCTAAAACATTTAGAACTGGATCTAACCACGAACCCACCTATCACCCGATTAAATTTTAGACTGCCCCGTGACGCGTGGATTTTCCCTGTTTGGGGTAAGATGTTAATAAAGACACCTATTCTAGATCATCATTACTGGCTTTGAACTATTTTACGATAAAGCACAGATGGTGATTGCTCTCTTGGATCAAGTAGAAACTGCAACGGTACAGCTGGAGTATCCATACTTGGCGAAACTTATCCTCCAGCAGGCAGCCAACAGAGGACCTGGGTGCTTTTAAAACGGACAAGGAAAACAGCGGATTTTAATTAGTCTGCACCGGCCAAAATCGGGAGTCTGCGGATTGGAAGGTCGTGGGTTCAGGTCTTGACGGAGCCAACTTTTTTTTTTAATGACCTTGACTCCCAGGTTGACCCAGCGTTGAGTACCAGGTCAAGTCCTGGGAAGTAAAAGCAGTGGGGTGATGCTAACCACATCACCCTCCAAGTGTCGACTGGTCTATAAAATATCGGTCTAGCCCTATATGCCCAGTACTTCTGAAGGCGGGAAAAGGGATCCATAAAAAAAACTGGTAACTTAAGTACAGTAACTGTTTTTGTTGGCTACAGGGGAAGAGGGCATAATACGTGTCGGAATGCCACGAGTGCAGTGATGTCAGTCGATTTATGTATGCGTTCTGATCGGCTATGCCTCTCTTCTAAACCCATTTCCTTTCGACATTTTGTCTGTGCCGCTACACTAGTATTGTCGGCGTCTGTATCTTGCACGTTGCAAATGCGGTTTGTAACTCCAAACTATGTCGAGTTTGACCGGAAAAATAAGAGCTGCAGAGGTAAGCGAGGCGCAACAGGAAGGGCAAGCGTGGGAAAGCGTCCGTGTAAGCCTCAGCAACCTTTGAATTTTGTTCTGGAACTGTGCAAGCATCACGATAACTTTGTGTACAGAGCAGATGTCGTAGCCCCGCAGAAGACGTGCCTTGGCGATGGAGTGTTAAGGTTAGCTGAGCGGTTCTCAACCTATGTGACCTTTTTTGGATGAAACGATCCTTTCACATGCGTCGCAAAAGACCATCGCGAAACATATTCATTGAAGTTATGAAGTAGCGATAGAAATAATTGTATTTTTGGTGATCGCCACAACATGAGGAACTTATTAAAGGTTCGCAGCATTAGGAAGGTTGAGAACCACTGGGTTAGCTAGAAACAAGTTTTTTTAAACGGGAAAAAGGGGGGGGGGGGGTAGACGTGTCTCAATGAGAAGCTAAAGCTTTTGGCGATTAGGGTCTGTTATTAGCATGTATTCTTGTTAGTTAATATGTATGCATGTAATGGACAAGTACATTACCAGAAATAATTGTCTGAATGAGTTTATTTCTCTAGATGGAAACACCATCTTCTGTGAAGATTTCAATTGTAAGGGCAACTCTTAGGGAAAATGTTCTTCCAATACTCAAAGAGAGGAGCTCAAAGATGCGCATGAATCCACCAACCTCGTATGCATCAACAACAGATGTGTCACCAGACTGACGAGTCGCTCAGGGGACGAAGACGGTGCTATTGACTTGACATTGGTGTCGCCTCTGCTCACTTCGGTATGTTAATAGGAGTGTCATAGGGCGGCATGACAGTGATCAACTTATCTGCTGCATACTGGTGGAAAAAGGCAGGTCGAGGAAACATAAGCCCAATGGGCAATCCTTTAGGTACGACACTACAGGGGAAGACCTCTTGAGTAGAATCTGAAATTACAAGCGTGAAACACCTTTAGGAGCGGGGAAAAACTAGATACCACCCCCACCCCTTTTTTTCTGTTCTTTGAAGTACAGACTTTGCAATCGAATCATGTATTAGCATGTGCCAAAACCAAGCGAGCTTGCGACGTTTCACCGCTGCAAAAAGCAGACTCCTGGTGTCCCGTAAATGTGTTTGTTTTGTCTCTGAAATATTTATCAGTTTTATGTTCTAAATAACTAATTCGGAAAATGCGTCTGTAGCATTTACATTCAAAAGCCTCAATCCTCACTTTCCATTTCCACGGTGAAAGTTCAACTCTCACACACGTATAAGAAAATAGACACTACCAGTTTGTAAATAACCTTGACTGCGATGCTGATTGTGCTCTTCCACATAGTAGTCAGCCTCGACATCGCGGCTGTTGCCATATCAAGTCTTGTCTTGATCTCTTTGGTACAGCTACCATCGTTACATATGTGGGAGCCAAGATATTTTAAAAGTTTAAACTTTTTCTAGTTTTTTCCCTTTTATCTGAATGGTACTTTATTATTCTGACCATTTACCAGAATCTTGCTTTTCTCGATATTAATTTCCATGCCATATTTACGACAGACTTTCTCGAAATTTGTAGTAAATTCTTGGAGTTTTGTTTTGGAACCAGCCATGAGATCTATGTCGTCTGCAAAACGTAAATTCCACCAATGGATATAGATGTTACATGATTGTCTAGTGTCTCTCTTAGCGGCTCTCTAGCGAAGTTGGTTAAACCTGACTTTCGTGGCGGCCGGGTGACGAACTCCTTGTGGTCCGGGTTCACTCCCGGGGGTAGGCAGAAAAGCCACATTTCTCCCAGATTAACGGTACCTATAATTGAATCAAGGCCGAAGGGTTGCGATATCCATAGTACCGAGTCAAAGGGTTTACAACAAAAGTGTCTCTCTTAGTGTGTGTTCCAAATACAAATTGAAAAGGACAGGGGAGGTATACAACCCTATCTCACTCCCACACTTGTCTTGAAAAATTTCCCAATGTCATTTTGAATGAGTACTGCACTGATTACATCTTTATAAAGTGCTGCAACCGTGTCTATGATGTTCTTTTCTAAGTTAAAATTGTATCATTATTTGCCAGAGCCCAGCATGCCGCACACCGGTCAAATGCCTTGGTGAATTCAATGAAGTTATGGAATATTGCGCGCTGATGATGTAAGTGTTTTTCTATCATCGTTTTAATGATAAAATTTGTTCTGTGGAGCTTCTATTTTTCAGAAATCCCGCCTGCTCTTCGGCTAGATTTCTTCAGATTTTGCTTTTAATTTGTTCAGCAGTATCTTTAGCATTATTTTGCTTGCGTGGGTGATAAGACTAAAAGTTTATAAATGTTGCAGCTTTTCAGATTTCCTTTCTTTGGCAATGGTATCACCAACGATTGTGTCCATTCAGAAGTATCACCAACGATTGTGTCCATTCAGAAGTATCACCAACGATTGTGTCCATTCAGAAGTATCACCAACGATTGTGTCCATTCAGAAGTATCACCAACGATTGTGTCCATTCAGAAGTATCACCAACGATTGTGTCCATTCAGAAGTATCACCAACGATTGTGTCCATTCAGAAGTATCACCAACGATTGTGTCCATTCAGAAGTATCACTAACGAGTGTGTCCATTCAGAAGGCCAATTCTTTGTAACCCAAATTTTCTGGCACACTTCCGTCATTGCCTTAGTTACGTGTTCTCTGTATTTCAAAAGTTCAGCTGGGACATTGTCCACACCTGGCAATTTACATTCTTTTAGTGAACTTTGACTTGTTAGTTTATTTTGGTACCTTGAAAAAAGAAATTAGTACTATTACCAAAAAGAAAATTCTGCAGCCCTACTAATAACCACGCTTACCGCCGTCTGGGACCGTCTCGAAGTCCACCTGTACCTTCTATTCACTTCTAGTTTGCAGCCTTATATAATTGGCAGTTCATAATGCAGTGTGGCCCTATCTGACTCTATCAACATTTCCCTCGATATGACCTTCCCCAACCACCTAATATACATATACACACACACACACTTTCTAGCCTGTATTAAATCTTATTGGATTACTAGCTGTACCCAGCCACGCGTTGCTGTGGCCCAGAATAGTGAAATGAAGAGGAAAGAAAATAGGTCTCAGCTAACAGTGTCTCTCCCCTCCCCTCCTTTCCCCTCGACTCAGTCATTTCTCCCTCTCCCAAAGATTGAAAAATCATCACCTGGCAAAGTCATATCTCCCTCTCCGAAGGACTGAAAAATCATCCATGGCGAAATTATTAAAATAGTAATAGTTAAGAAATGAGAACTTTAAAATAATATTCTAATCTCTCTCAGCTAACTGTGTCTGGCATAACCCCCCCCCCCCCCCCCCCCCCCCCCCCCCCCCCCCCATCATATCATCTTCTTCGAAGGATGGGGAAGTCAAAGTGTAACGAAATATTGTAACTAAATTGAGCTTTGCATCCGTGTCTACTCAGACTTAAATAGGTAGCATTAACTTGTACATCATCATCATCATGTAGCAGGTCCTTTGCAGAACGTCGCTCTCATCACAGTCTGCCTGAAAAAAAATCGGTCTCTCGCCAGTTCTCCTGCCTCATATACTTTCATACTCAAGGAGTCACTTATTTCCTGTGCCCATCTTCGT